CAAGTCCCATGTGCCTGTAATTACTTCAGCACCCTTACGCTTCAAAACCCGAACACAGTAATGGTGACATTACTACTTGGTGGCAGAAATAGGTAAGGTTGGCAGTACCCTGGATGAACTCCTTCACAAGGAGCTCTATTAAAACGATTTTACACTGAGGTTACAACGACGAACAGAGCAAGCTAAACTTTTAGAAGTACATAGAAGTATATAACTAGAAGCATTTACCGGCTTTTCCTGTCTCTGAATAACATCAAACAAATATATTTTCTTAAATAGTTTATTAAATGTATGTCGAGGTATTTTTTATTATTTTTAAGATAACAGTCGGCCGGGGTCAGGGACTCTGGTTCAAGAATCGGCGAATTATACGTGCAGTGTCGAACAGAATGAGGTTCCGCTTATATTATTATTATTCGCGAATGAATATATTTTAATTGACTAACTCATTTTATCAGACTCAAATTATGTATATGTGAAATTTTATAACTCGCTTTTTCAAAAAAAACTTTCTTTTCATCTTTAAATATCTCTAAAATGTTGTCGTTTTGCATATGTGACCTTGTTACACTGAGGGTGTGAAATGTCCAAAGTAGTTAATATTTTGTAATCCTGCAAGTGAAAAACATGAACATCAATGGCACAATTTAAACCTGCATAAAGCACATGTTCGATTGTGTATGGAGTACTGCTGCCACCTTTGGGACGGCTCTACCCGTACTAGTTAGCTACCTTGGAATGGGTGGAGCGAAAAGCGTAGAGACTTATTAACAACAATTCTCTTGTGGAGTTGAGGCTACGAAATCTCGACCATCGCAGAACAGTAGCCTGCTTGTCAGTTTTCTATCGGATACATTTCGAGGAGTGTGCACCCTCACCGTTCCTCCTTCGGTTGACTAGAAGGTTCGGAACACTCCATCTTTATGTCGTTAATACACCACCCATCCGCACTATGTGCTTTGCTTCCTCCTTTCTGATGCGTACGGAATGGAATAAATAGTCTACATCTGTTTCCCGAATAAACATTTTTTTGGCATACGCGTACCATCATCGGTCACATCGTCGTTAACATCAGGTCAGATTGTGGCCAAGCGTGTGTATCATTTATATAAAAAAAACATTTGCCGTCGGCCCCAATACCCAAACCTATAAATTCATTTCTTGGTTAGATGTATATTTTATTCATACTTAGTCGCTTTTAAAAATGTTACAAATAGAAAATAGGAATGACTGGTAATAGCTGAATGATTTTGGCTCCTTACTTAATTTTTACGTTATAGCTATAGTAGATACAAGGTATGTATATCAATGGGCGGTTTTATAGATTTGCCTGTCTCGAAAACACCTTTTTTTGTGACACCAAGTGACGCAGTAATTTAAAGTTCTGAGTGGTACTGCAACTGTTATGGACAGGCGTGTCGCTTACCATCAGGCGCATGACTTGTTCGTCCCGTCACATAGTTATTATCAATAATTGTAACTTTTTCGTTGAAAAAAAAACACGAACCCGGAACAGCATGAGGGTCCACCTCGAGAGTATACCCTTTCAAACAAAGGGCCCGAAACGTCAGTTTGTTTGAAATATGAAATATACGCGATTTAAATCCGGAAAAATAGTTTTATTTCCTATATGAAACAATCGCGAAAACCTAAGAACTCGATAAACGAGGAATTTTCAAAATCGGTGCACAATCGACGGAGATATCTGAAAACATACATCCAGCCGAACTCTCCTCCTTTTTTGAAGTCGGTTAAATTAATTTGGTCGAGTATTACCTATTTCACAATCATTGTTTCGGTCGGATGTCAAATGTAGAACGAGAGTTAAGTAGACCCCCTGATATGGCATTTCGTTCGAATGACGTTTTTTGCTCATCGACCGAATCTAAAGTGACTTTTTGCTTGATAAAACATTTACGGAGTTACATAAAAAATAGGACAGATTTTTCTTGTCTCGTTCAGTGAAGTTGCGAACAAATTATTGTCTAACTGGAAGTTGGTTATAACTTCAGTCACTATAGCAGGTATACCATGCGACTCACATGAACAAGTTTAAAGTTTCTCAACATTAAGAGTCCCCGAAGACTGCAGAATTTTTGTCGGCCGATAAATTCTTAAACTGTATGAAAATATCGTACACGTAGAGCAATAATAAGAAAATATCGTACACGTAGGCATATTTGCAAGATGATAAATTTTTCAGATGAGGGGTAATTTTCAGGTTTTTTTATTTTTTTATAATACCAAGTGACGGTGTTCATAACAACTGTAATGCCACTCAGAGCTTTAATAAATCGCAAAGATTTGAGGGGTTCTAACACTGCGTCAATCACCCTGAGACATAAGTTGACAAGTCCCAAGTGCCAGTAACTTCACCAACACCCTTGCCCTTCAAAACCGGAACACAATCACGCAGTAATGCTCACATAACTGTTTGGCGGCAGAAATAGTTAAGGTGGCAGTACTTCCCTGGACGAACTCTTTCATAAGGAGCTCTTGCTACTAAAGGATAGTTTTCTCTTCCTAATTTCGATGATAATTAAATTATTGAATATTCTTTATTGCACCAAAACAAATACAAAGAAATATAAATTACAGAGAAGGTGAGCAAAAGTGGACTTAACTCTAAAAGTGATCTCTTCTAGCCAACCTGAGGCAGTGAGAACAAAGGTCATTTCACGTCATGTCACGCGGGCATTAGTGTGCAATATTTATCATTGAAATAATCTACATTTTTTTTTTACTTTTTTTAATAATAATAACGCGCTCACCATGTGTCGCGGGTGCCATGGACACACACATTACACCCAAACTCACGAGAGAAATAAATATAGGCCATACAAATATTTCTCCCGGCTCGGGAATCGAACCTGAGGCCTCTACGTGGCACTTCGGCATGGTATGGCATGGAATGGCGTAGTAACCGTTCGACCACGGATGCGTTGGATATTATCATGAACTATCAATTGTCAAATTTTATTATAATGGATTGCCTTCACATTCATGTAACAAAATATTGCATAACACTTTTGCTGACACGTTATTGATAGACGAAAAACACAAATAGACCCACAGTTAACTTGACAATGAAAATGTTGCAGAATTAACTTACATTTTGTCTATTTTTTGACATGTACAGGTATATAATACACAGCGTTTGTACTTTGGCTAAATTTAGAAAAATATTTAAAACTGCATCTACAAGTATATTAATAACAGGTAGCGTGGCTACAGGGAATTCACCGCAATTGTTTATTTTTCTTTTAAAGTAATAAATCAATCAACTGTATACAGTGGGCAATATCATAATAAAAAATAGGGTGGCATGGCTACAGAGCATGACAATGGCATGACACCAATAAGAGACTTATAAAATTTCACATGTACATAATTCTTTTCATGTAGTTCGCATGTGATGATAGCACTTTTGACATATGATAAAATGTGACTTTATTATAAAAATGGTGCGATATATATGTGTTCACATTATAATGGTTTGGTATCGATCAATAAATAAGTTTGATAGGCTAGCCGATTGCCTTGAAACTGAACTGTCGCACGAACTATCGGGCTGTTGCTAAATTTGTGAATGAATGAAGGGAATGTTATTGCGATTTTTTGTGAAATCGACTTGCCCCGTTGCTCAGTTGGTAAGAGTAATACTACGGTGCAGCAAGGTCGTGGTTTCAAGTCCCATCGGGTCGGAGAACATTTTTGTAAATGTTTAATCTTTGTATTAATAATAACAACTAGTGGAGTTTTTTCGCAATAAATCTCAATGTTGCTTTACTTTTTCGTCACAAACAGGCTTAAGAGTAAATGAACTTATAAATAAAACAAGATTTGGCATGCTATTTTGTGAGAGACCAGCGCCTGAGATAGGTATCGTAAAACCTGTATTACAGGTCACTAGGCTTCCACGCTGCAAATGAGCAATAATGTTGTGGCACAGTGGTTGTGATACCTAAGTTATAATGAAACAGGTAGTATACTAAACTAAGTAATGAGAACCTCTAAGATTTAACTCTAATAATCTCACGATATTATGAAAAGAGTGAGGATGAATAAGGGTTTACAATATGCGTGAGATCAGTATGGCGCTCTCCAAACTCGCACATAATTTGTGAAAATTGTGTAATCTGCCGATGCATCCAACATTGTCACTTTCTCTTCTTGATCCTTTCTCTTCATTATCTAAAAACAATAATGTCACTTCTGGACATTTTAATTTTCATTACACAATTCTAGAGCACCCATTGACTTACAAATAAATGGACGACGGGTCTAATACAAAAACCACGAAAAAAATGTCCCAAGTCAACCTATTCGAAATTTAAATTGTAATGTCATCGCAGTATCGCGCTGTCAGTAGAACAAATGAAGACTAAAGCGGAGTGTCGCACTCTGTATATGATTTTAGCGCCTTACAAGTGCGGACACTTTTTAGCGCGGACCCGACGTCCATATAATTGTAAGTCAATGAGAGCACCTAACAAATAACAAATTTTTTCTTCTACCTTCTCACCACCAATCAAACTATTAGTGTTCAATTGGCACAGTGCGCGCTAGCGCCCAACCCGATTTAATTATCAGCGGATAGAAAGTCTGTAGTTTGCGGGGGCCCTAAGCTGGACCAGGAGTGTTACAATGTTACATAGAAAAATCTCCGTTCTCTTTTGCAAAGTTTCCTGTAACTCCGAAGCTTTAATATTTTAACGTCTAAGAAAATGAGATTTTTCGAAGAAACTTTTTGATGCTATTAATTTATTAGAATATCGATGCGAAAGGCAGCTACAGTTGTACACCTCGCAAGAAACTCAATAAGGGATTTACTTTCTTAGAATCTCATCTATCTACTTTTTTTCACCCTAGTTGTATTTCTGCTTGCTTTCGACATGTTAACAGCTCTAGAATACTCTCCAGTGGACGCGATATAAATACTTGTTTGATGATTCATGTATATTGGTTTGTTTTTCTAGCATTTGGCAAGAGGAATCCTAATGAGTACTGACGCTTCTAAAATGAACATAGTATCGGTGAACTGGGCAGCTGGGGCAGAACCTCCCTATGCGCAGGCTGTGGCAAATGCCAGGCTTGTTGCTTTAGAGATTGTCCATTTCATGACACAATTGGTAAGTTTAAGATACCTAGTGATAGGACAAATAAATCGTGACCCTGGTGGTGAGCGACATGTCTGTCCATAGCAGTTTCAGTGCAACTCAGAGCTTTCAATTCCAAAGATCTGAGGGCCACTGCCACTGCGCCCGTCACATTGAGACATAAGCATAATAAGCGTCTTGCACGGTTTCCAAGGAGACGTCGTTTCGAATCCGGTCGGATTGAAGTATTTTTTTCTAAGTGCTCGATTTTTGTATTTATAATTATAGAAAACTAGTGGAGTAATTAAAAAAAAATTGAATATCATGATAGTGAAACATCCTGACATTCAACAAAGTTAATTGCAATAAAATTTAAACTAAATCAGTTATTAAAAAACCGATTAGAGAGGGTCGTAGATCTCGTTTCGCTGTTCCCAAACATGTTAATAACTCAATTTCGCTAAAAAATTCGATTAATTTAGTTATGCCAAGAAGGATAGTAAGCCTTAGCATGCGTGCTCAGTGCGGGTTGAGGACTTCACGTTTCTTTAAATTCTTTACACATCATCTCTTACCACCTGACATGCGTCGTGATATTAGTGACCTAATGTTCTTAATGAGAATAGCATCAGGTTCAATTGATTGTCCGGAATTATTATCACAAATATCACTTAGATTTCCCTATAAATCCTTGAGAAACAATTCACTTTTGGTTCTACCCCCGGCCCGTACTTAATATAGGCAAAATGAGTTTATATGGCGTGCAAGCAATAATTTTAACATTCTATGTACTTCTTTTGATCTGGATCTTTTCAATATGAATGCGATTTCGCCGAGGAGAGCACTGAGCGAGCATTTCTTTCACTCATAGTGAGGCTACCAACTGCGGTTGTCATTTTGTGGTTTACGTATTAAATTATGTTCATAGTGATAGGTTAGTTAAATGTTTCTATTTGTGAGGATCTGTAATTGGCTCTCAGCTGTTACAATTATTATACAAGTTAGATTTAAGCTGTTGGTCTTCCTTTTAATATAAATAAATAAATACGGCGTATACGTACAACGTTGTTACCTTCACCGTTGTGGTAAATGATAATTGAATAAACCCGCACACGACTTGACAAGATTCAATAACGTGCAGAACGTGATACATGTACGGTAAATGTGCTTGATACAAGGCTACTTCATTATTCCAAGAAGTTATAGAGAGCATTGTCTCCGTGTGTGTTACATTGCAGTTTTACTTTTTTTTAATAACATCAAGTGACGGGACGAACAAGTCGTGCGCCTGATGGTAAGCTTTAAGTTGATAAGTCCCAGGTGCCTGTAATTTCACCAGAACCCTGACCCTTCAAAACCGGAACGCAGTAATGCTGACGTTACTGCTTGACGGCGGAAATTGGTAAGGTGGCAGTACTTCCCTGGACGAACTCTTTCCCAAGAAGCTCTACTGCTACTAAAGCTACTACTCCTACCAAGCCATGATCGCGTACACACGTATCAGCTTAATGGGACTGTGATACTTTATTTTGTTATTCATAGCATGTACACGCATGGCAAGAACTCTGTTTGGTATTAAGAAGTGAGTGAAGTGAAACGAAAAAATATTTTAAACAGATGTTGAATTTAAATTGTTCGAGTATTTTCACAAACTCGCTACTGTGGATTACGTAGACCCTCCGTATCTCACCCACTATAAATACTCGTGTTATCGGATAAAACGTCAGCAAATAATTTATTTCTAAGCGCCAAAATAAATCGCGTTTATTTATGCTTATTTTCACGGCGTCTCTTGGAGAGCACCTTGTATTGCTCATTTAACATACAAACTAATTTAAGTATTCAAAGGTCGCTTATTCCTGTTCACCTGATATTCTCAACTTCAAGATGGTTACCCTACAAATTTATGTATTTTTCGTCGGATTTAAATGTCTTGAATTAACGCCATCTTAAAATATTACTTATTTTATTTTGTTAAGAAAACAGGTGCAAGGAAAACTTAAATCTAGGCTGCTAATTGGTGTAACGAAAACCGGCTTTGGTATAAATTTATACCATAAAAATATTTGGTAAAAATTAAACACAAAAATTACAAATAGTCTAATTAAATTTTTACTGAATTGATATTCAATTATTTTTTGTGAAATTACTCCTACTTTTACTTTTTTTAACTACTTTTTTCCGAGTGTTCGATCTTTGTATTAACAATTATAACAAACTAGTGGAGTGATTTCACAAAAAAATAATTAAATATCAATTCAATACAAATTTTATTAATACAGTGAATAGCGACATCTCTCGCCAGGACTGGTAGCTGTAAAGGTATTAACTGGGTGATATATCTTTCATAGATTTCTCATAGATGGCGCTACGACTATATACTATAATACAAAGACACGACGCAAGCACATAGAAAAATTCGTGAGGTCCGTTGTTTCGCTCCGTGGCTTAATTGGTATAGCGTCTGGCACGGTACGCAAGAAGACGTCGGTTCGAATCCGACCGGATCGAAGGATTTTTTTCTGAGTGTTCGATCTTTGTATTAATAATTACAAATAGTCTAACTTGAAGTAACTTTTAATGTATCATAGTTATTAAATATCATCCTCAGTTTCCAATACTAATTGTCACTTAGGGTTGAACCCTATAATGTCAACGCGCGTCATATATAGTACGCCTAATACTGAGCCGTCATTAACTGATGCTGCTATGAGCGGAAACTAGTAGAGCTCCTCTTTAAAGGGTTCGTCCAGGAAGGATCAACCACCTTATCTATTTCTGTCGCCAAGCGGTAATGTAAGCATCACCTGAACATTATGGACAGGCGTGTCGCTTACGGTTCACGACTTGTTCGCCCCGTCACTTGGTATGATAAAAAACAAGATACCACATAAAAATACATTAGAATGGACGTGATGTTGACGGGTGCTATGTCCCCTGCCGTGCGTGGGTTTGCTGTTATCTCTTAAATAGTGGCATCCTAACATTGCATAGATTTCCAAACCTTTTGGCTAACCACCCACTTGGCCATGATAAAAAAATTTCGACGCTCACCACCACAAAAGAATATTGAATTTAACATGAAAAATGACAAGAAAAAAAAATTATATATGTGTAGGAGTATGTTCGTTACTCATATCTGTTGATTTGGGACTCGAACGTGAATGCGTACACTGAAATAATCTTTTACGCAGTAACTTTATTAACTATAAATTTATTTAGCAGGATTACAAAAGGAGCCTAAATTATTCTAAAACCTTTCATATAATTGGTCACGGATTGGGCGCACATATAGCCGGCTATATCGGCAAGCTGATGCCAATACAGAGGATAACGGCATTGGACCCTACTGGCCCGTACTTCGCCAATATGCCGCCTCTTGTCAGACTTCATAGAGATGATGCAGATTACGTTGATGTGGTACATACACATACGCAACCATGTGAGTGTTGAGTTCGAAGACCTCGTATATCTGTGGGCTCTAGATGATATAGTAATGCTTATTGACTTGAGAATACCTTTTTTTTGACGATACAAGAGTAAAAGCTTATCTTTTCGGGTTTAATTGAGTTTATACTTGGTACAAACGTAAAAAGTTTTTATTTACAAGAGCGTTCAATTTCAAAACCGCCAAACCGTATGAAACTATCGAGATTTAGGTTTTCGCGATTGTTACACATAGGAAATTAAACTATTTTTCCGGAATTAAATAGCGTATATTTGTTTTTTCAAACAAACCAACATTTCGGTCTAGTAACAAAGCCCGAAAAATAGTTTAATTTCCTACGTATGAAACTATTTTAACAATATTTATGACTATAATACTGATATTGAACGACCTCGGTGACCCAATGGTTTGCTCTGTAGGCGCTAGATAAAGAGGTCCCGTGTTCGATTCCCGGCAGAACCAATTTGGGAAATGACCTTTTCTGAATTGGTTCTGGTCTGGCTGTTCTGGATAGGTACTGCTCGAGATTAAATTCCGTTACTCTGGTACTCACAGTACAGGGATTCCCCTGGAATGAGACCAGGTAATTAATTGGTGTGATTGGTTTAGTACATTATACCATCTCAAACTAATTGGTATAATTTATTTTTGCAGATGGTCAAGGCTACAAAGATTTAATTGGCCATATAGATTTCTATCCAAATAGTGGCAGATTCCAGCCCAGTTGTGTAGATACGTACGTAAAATTAACTTCGCTGAAGCGAGGAGACCTTCAGGTACTTTGAAGTATTCATAAAATATTTTACTGTACAGTAACATAATAGAGATTTATATCTCCATTATTGAAGAAACGTCAGAGTTCTCTCGTTCAATTTTCATATCTTTCCAATTTAATTAAAGATTCTTGCGCAATTGCTTCGAACTTCATTCGCATTTTAACAAGAGCAAAATTTCTATTCGTTTAGATGATTTAAAATTATACTGTGATTATTTAAAAAACAAACGATATTCTGGTTGATAAAATACGTTTAACTTTACGCAATTTCTATCGTCATTCTAGAACCTTCAGAATCGATTATTTCAAATGCTCAGTAACTTTAGGTGCGTAGTTATAATTTCGTCTAATCTAACTATCGTCTCATCACACACATCTGCGAATCATGTTAGAAAGATAAGTGTAATGCAGAGGTTCTCAACCTTTTTCAAATAATCAACGCTGTGGTGAATAATATCTGTGTCGGAGAAAATTGATCAGACTCTTCGAAGACGTGAGTACACAAACTGCATCGGGTCAACGTCCAGCAGTCATAGTATAGGTTGATGATGATTATGATGTAGCGCCTGCCTGATAAAAGAAAACTACGGCAGTGATTTTTTATTTGTTTAGTACTGTAATTACATGTTTGAACAATTGATTACACTTCTCAACTCGTGAATGAGTGTTATTTAATATTGGTTGAGTATTAACTCACTCTTTGCATTTTCACGTAATATAAAGCACTGTATATATAATAAAGAGTGAGTAAAACTAGAAAACATTACTAATTCAGTACTTACAGAGCTTTTCAAACAAATTACACAATGTATAAAATAATGAAAACAACATCGATATCCGTTTCATTCGAAGGAGGCTAAAATAAAATCAGTAAAATTTGGAATGTGTAATAAAAACGGCAAAAGTAATAGGATTATAAATAAGTATAAAAAGAATTGTGGCGGTCTTCATTACAAGATGTGACGACAGTATGCCGTCATAAACATAAAAACCAATTTGTTTCAAAAATGTGTCGTTAAACCATCGCAGTCAAGTCACATTTTTTTATGTAAAGTAGACGGCAAAGGAGTTTCGAGATACTTATTGGGAAGTGGTAATAGTCGCACATGGACATTTGGAACACTAGAGAAGCTGCCTGTAAGTTGTCGGGCGTTTACTCCTTTTTGAAAAACTTTATGTCATATCGCAAAGGAAACAACACTTGAGGAGGGAGCCTATACCGCGTTTTGTAGTTTCGAGGAAGGAACGAAATTTAATAATATTATTAAATAATAATAAATTTTTTTTTTCTTACAAATTTTGTGATCAAAATTACATTAAACTATATTGTAAAGAGGCAACAAAGAACAAGCGTATAAAACTTTATGCCCGTGTGGCCTTAGTATGCCGCGCGTTAATGATATGGGGATGGGTTCTACTTCTTGTTGGTATATGCCATGGTAGAAATGTAATGGTAGCATCATCAAGTTCCTCTAAGCACTCCCTTTTATACATACGGCAGAACAAACAAAGAGGGCTACGTCACTCCATAACCTCAAGGCCTTCAAATCCCATGTTCATGTTTAATAATGTTGAACCTTTTGGTGCAGCCTCTGTTGGGAACAATAGGCGTAATAACTCGAGGTTACTACGCCCTACCTGTCTTTAACAAATTGCTTTTAATCATCAAAGAGCGTGGAGCACTTCCAGCGCTTAATTCAATATGGTTGGGACGTCTCGCTGATTAACTGAGTACTATTGGTAGAGTTTTAACGGAAATTGATTTCGTTATAAGCGCAAAAATCAATAATGGATTTATTTAATAACATTTATGACATTTTGTCATTACTATACTTCCCTTTTTTCCACTTTGTGTTAGACAATTTTGGGGATTTTTTTCTGGTGACGGGACGAACATGTCGTACGCCTGATATTAAGCGACACGCTTCTCCATAGCAGTTGCTGTGCCTAACAGAGTTTTAAATCGCAATTATCTGAGGGATTCAGCCGTTGCGTTTATCAGCCTGAGTCATAAGTTGACAAAGCTCATGTGCCTGTAATTTCACCAATACCCTTGAAAACCTGAATGCAGAAATACTCACATTACTGCTTGGCGGCAGAAATAGGAATGGTGGCAGTACTTCCCTAGATTAATTCTTTTATAAAGAGGTTTACTGCTACTTAATTTGAGTATTTTTCATTTACATATTATATCATGTTTGTTAATAACAATCGTGCCATTTGCAATGTGTTTTCTAAATGAAAAGGTTTACGATTTCTGCTTCTTTGTCTGAACGCCAATGAAAGAGGACGTCAATGATTCTGAACTTAATTATAATAGACCTGAGACACGCTGCGTATGTTAGAATTTGACATCGTTAATTTTCATGGTTGCCAATTTTCTTAAAATATTGCGTACAAGTTACACTAGGCGACGACGACTACGATACGCATTGTTACGTCCTTAAAAAGCGTTTAGTGTGTCAATACGATTACAACATCGTTTCTAAAGAATTTACTTCGTTCTTCTTAATACGGATAGCTATTGAATTAAATTTCTTACTCGCCTTTTCAAGGCCAGATTGAAACGTTCTATGCAACATGTACCCATCGACTACATCGCCACGACATTGTGATGATACAAAAAAGTATATATATGCTCGAAGCGTAGTACGAATCAATAATACATCTTGTCCACATTCCTTCGTCACTCTATCGGTAAGGCCCTCGACAAAAATAAGAGAGCGTAATTTATGGAAATTTTTACGGTTCGCCGATCACCCTCACAACAAAACCCTCGGCGAGAGCTTTAATTGATGTAAGTTAATTAGGTTTTGACGTCATAGTTACCTCGATTAAATGTTTTTATAGTTCCTAAAACATTTACGATTAAAGTAGGTATTTTAAAGGCAAAAATAGGAAACTTACCATATTATCATCAACTTATTATACGACCCACTGTTGAGCACGGGTCTCCTACAAAATAAGAGAGCCATAGTTCACCACGCTGGTTCAGTGCAGGTTGAGAACTTCACAGGTTTCATCACAATTTATTCCTTCACCGTCAGTGAGACCTATTTTCTCTACACATTCACAAATGTACATCATTTACAATTAAGCTATAGGTACAGTCGATGCCCTAAGATATCTGACTCCCTAGCCGACCGTTTGGTTCTGAGAACCATCTTACGCATGCAACAGCGAAGTGTAAAGGAATTCTGGCCGTTTGCTTGAAATTTGTGTTTATGTAATGTCTCACAGATCAAATAGGCTTAAAAATTTCTTAAAACGTCATTCTCTAATTAGGCAATATGGAAGTTATAACAAATTGAATTTTACGGCACACAGTTCTTTATCTGTGAGCCGTAAGCTAAGTTTCATTAAGGTGAGGTACTCGCCCCTGACGTCCCGCAATCCGCGCGCTGTAAATTAATATCAATAAACAAAGAACATTCGGAGAAAATTTGACATAGATCCCACGTCGACAAGCACCTGATGGTGACTGACATTGATGGGCCAGCGGGCGGCACGGCGAGTCGTTAAATCGCTGTGCAATTTGCAAATTTTGAGATAAATGTGAAATAAATAAGTATTTGTATTAGTAAGCTTTAGTTGGAATTCAAAATTTAGCAGGTTCTCTGTAGTACTTAAAGACAAATATCTCCATATAAAATTATGAACAAAGTTTGATATTTTATTCTCAAATAATTCGTTTTATTCTTTCATTTTAGACTGTTTATATGATCGGATAAACTGTGGAAGCGTGCTGGGCACATAACCGAAATGTAGTAGAAAATAAATAAATATTTACTAGAACTACTACATTCTATCGTGCAAAAAATTTGCATTCTTTAGACAATATATTTAGGTATATCGTATATTTTTGTAAGACCTTTATTTAATAGTACATACTTAAGGTTATTTTGACTAAGAATTAATTATAAATAAGTCACTTACATGAGAACACGGAGAAACATGTTACAATTTTTTTAAAGAAGCATACAAACTTTACTTAAACCATTTGATCTAGCAAAATAGTTTTTCCCGTTTCTCCTCCGGTGACTCGCTTACACGCCTTTCTTCAAACTGATCTACTCAGAACCAAATGGTCGTATATATTATTATTTAACTGCCTCTGTGGCCGAACGGTTACCATGCCGGACTGCCATGCAGAGGTCCTGGGTTCGATTTCCAGGCCGGGAGAAATATGTGTAGGGCCTACATTTATTTCTCTCGTGACTTTGGGTGTAATTTGTGGTTGTCTATGTATGTGTCCATGGCACCCGCGACACAGGGTTTCCCTAGTGCGGGGCTATGTTGAGTGTGTGCGTTATTATTATTATTACTTATGTTACTTCAGGACATAGACGCAATGTAAAAAAGTTAATTTTTATAGTAAATAATTACCAAGGACATGCTTACAGTTGGGTCAAACGTTATCTGCCTGCTCTCACAAACGGAGTTTGAAATATTACATCGAGGCCCTGATAAAGCCAGAATGCGAATATATTGGCGTTGCATGTCCTAGTTTTAAGGATTTTGTTAAGGTAAGAATTTTTCTAACGCAGTAATGCTCACATTACTACATGGCAGCAGAAATAGGTAAGATGGCAGTTGCCCCTGGACGAACTCTTTCACAAGGAGCTGTACTGCTACTAAATCTATCTGTAAATAATATATTTAAGTTTTTCCCTAACAAACTTTTATAAATTATGAATGTCTGAAGTAAATGGTTATTATTATTATTATTTACAGTGCTGCGGAACGGAATTGAAGCGAGTTTTTGTAACCATAGCACAATGAACTTTATGTTAATTGTTTAACATACATACTATATACGAACCAGAAAACAAATCGCGCTTCTTCTTTCAACCCTTTATCTAGTTTGTATGTTACACAATCGACATTGAGTTAATTATGCTATATACACTTTCATTAAGGAGCTCGCTTATATTCCCTTTCGCGGCACCGTAAATTGAGCCATAAGATCATTGACTTACAATTATATGGACGTCGGGTCCGCGCTAAAAAGTGTCCGCACTTGTAAGGCGCTAAAATCGTATACAGAGCGCGACACTCCGCTTTAGTCTTCATTTGTTCTACGGACAGTGCGATACTGCGATGACCGAACAATTTAAATTTCGAATAGGTTGACTTGGGACATTTTTTCGTGGTTTTTGTATTAGACCCGTCGTCCATTTATTTGTAAATCAATGCATAAGATTAATAAATTCGTTCGACGTTATACTGTGACATGTTATATTTGAATTATTGACCGAGACAAATATGATGTGAAAGAGGTTAAAAATGCAATCGCTTTCTTCCATAGGAAGAACAAGTTATGCGTCTACGCGTCGAATATATAAACATAATAATGAAATAGTATTGGAAATTAGTACATTCGTGTATATTTGGAAACCAACGTTTCTGACTATTTTCATGTCCCTTTGTCACGGTAATATAATATGGAACCTAATATTTTTTGTATTAAATATTTAATAATAATTACTAACGATAAAAACTCAAACAAATTTAATTATTATATTTTCGCAAATGAAACTCCAGAACCCACATTCGCACTTTAGTCGGAACTTTGACAGTTGAACAAATTCACGCAAACACTTTTGTATAAGAACAAGACCAATGCACCTTTGATCAAGACAAAAATTCGTCTGTAAACAATTTAAATTACACCGTAAATTTGAAAATTAAGGTTCAATTTGTAAAATTCTGCTGGAATAAATCGGATAACTTTGTCGGAACTCTCGGAATGACTCCAAAACTTCCCTCGCTTTTAAGACTTTAAATTGTTTAAGTCCAATTGGACCACGCGTATTTATTAGTTATACAGCTCAACTGAACTTCGTAGGATGACCACAAAACCTTAATTGCTGTAAAGAGTTTTAAAACTAGTTTTTAAATCGACCTCGGAAAAGGAAGATGTTCTCAAGTTCACCGTATTTTTTGTGTGTAGGTATGTTGCGCGATTACTGTGACGTTTATGAATCGATTTCGATTTTTTTTATCATAAAGGGTACCTTTGTAGTAGTCCTATTTAAATTTGAAAAACATATTCTACCTCTAAGAGTGGTAAATTATGGGACGAATCCGGCTTATTGAATTTATTTTTATTTTATTATTTTATTGAGGAATGACAAACAATTGTACAAGGTAAGTTATACAAATATAATATCGGTTTAGCTAATTGTACAATCAACAACATCATCCACAGGTTACTACAATAATAAAAATATTTAAATGAAGCATAATCGCTAGTGTATATTTTTTAAAGTACAATGCTGAGAAAGAAAATAAGTTTAAGAAACAAACAAACTTAATAATATTACTAAGTACAATTAACAAAAAAAAGCAGTTTCACAATCCACTACATTGGATTACAGTACTTTCACCCGCTTTCCGTTAATCGATTTTAATAAAAAGGAAATGAGTAAATTTTAATTAAAAAAACTGAAATAAAATGTTATGGTGGCCTTGAGCTGATCTGAAGATGGAAATAGCAGACAGGTTGGACGAATTGTTCGTAGTGTGCAGACACCCTATGTTTCAGTACATATGATTGATTTTGACGTGGACTTCAATCTACTTGTCAATTCTCGTTGTGACGCGGCAACGAACACAGCGAAAGCAGATGGCAATGTTTTAAAGCCAACTTGTTTTTATAACAATTGTAACTTTTTCATTGAAAAAAATCATCGACCTCAAAAGTTTGCTTATCGGCTTTTTTCGATTTCCATGGGATCCCCTCAGCAGATTCTGACTTCTTGGTGACAATGCGACTGTTACGGACTCCTTTGTATATTTTATATTATCTTCTGGCCGTCATAGTGACGGTGATTTGTTGATTACATGTATTGTAG